CCCCCCCATTACCCCCTCCACTGTTCTTGCCCACCGTAAGCTTCACCACCTACTGTCTGTGTCCATAGGTAAGATCTTTGGATAATCTCTTCCCACACTCCCTCCTCCCTTCCCTTTCAGATTCGTCAGTCTGTTTCATAATTTCATGCCTCTGTTTCTGTTTAATTCACCAGTTTATTTTGTTCATTGGATTTCTTGCTCGTTTATTTTGATTTTTAAATTTGATTGTTGTTAGATATGTATTTGTTGCCATTTTATTGTTCATATTTTTATCTCTTCTTTTTATTCAATAATACCCATCAACATTTCATATAATACTGGTTTGGTGGTGATGTACTCCTTTAGCTTTTTTTTTGTGTGTGTGTGTGTGAAACTCTATCTTCTAAATGAGAGCTTTGCTAGGTAATCTTGGTTGTAGGTCCTTATTATTCATCACTTTGAATATTTCTTGTCACTTCCTTCTGGCCTGCATAGTTTCTGTTGAGAAATCAACTGACAGTCTTATGGGCGCTCCCTTGTAGGTAACTAACTGCCATTCTCTTGCTACTTTTAAGATTCTCTCTTTGTCTTTAGCCCTTGGCATTTTAATTATGATGTGGTCCTCTTTGGGTTCCTCTTGTTTGGGACTCTCTGTGCTTCCTGGACTTGTAAGTCAATTTCTTTCACCAGGGAGGGGAAGTTTTCTGTCATTATTTCTTCAAATAGGTTTTCAATTATCTTGCTATCTCTCTTCTTTTGGCACACCCATAATGTGAATGTTGGTATGCTTGAAGTTGTCTCAGAGGTTCCTTATAGTATCTTCATATTTTTGGATTCTTTTTTCTTTTTGTTCTTCTGGTTGGGTGTTTTTTCTTCCTCTTATTTCAAATTGTTGATTTGATTCTCAGAATCCTCTACTGTTGAATACCTGTATATTATTCTTTATTTCAGTCAGTGTATGCTTAATATCTGACTGGCCCTTTTCCATTTTTGGAGAGGTTTCTAGAAGATTCTTGAGTAACCTTATAACTGTGATTTTGAACTCTATATCCAGTAGTTTGCTTTCACTCATTTCTTTCATTTGTGACATGTCTCTTTGTCTCTGCATTTTGGCTGCTTCCCTGTGTTTGTTTCTATGTATTGGATAGAGCTGTTATGTCTCCTTGAGTTTGTAGAGTGGCCTTGTGTAGTAGGTGTCTTATAGGGCCCAGTGGCTCAGCCTCCCCAGTCACCTGAGCTGGGAGCTCTAGGTGCACCCCTTTGTGGGCTGTGAGCACAGTCTTGTTGTAGTTGAGACTTGATTGCTGTTGGTGTCACTGGGAAGAATTGACCTCCAGGCCACTTGGCTGTGAGGACCAGCTGCGACTACAGTGGAAGAGCTGCTATGCAGGAGACACCCCTATGGAGCAAGACTTGCTTCAGTGGGGCTTTGGTGCTCACTGAGTCTGCCCCTCGAGTGTGTTGCTTATGAATGTGTAGAGTTATAATCTGGTATGGTCTGACACTGACCACTGGGTACACTGGCTCTTGGGTCTCCAGGGAGGTGCAAAGTCAGTCACTGCCTGGCGCCACCCAGCAGGAGCTACAGAGAGATATGCAGATTCCTCCTCTTTGTATCAGGTTTGGCAGTGCCCAGATGAGGCCCAGCTGTGAAGCAAGGCAGGCTGGTGCTGGTGCCAGGTCTTGGGCCTTTTATTGGTAAGTATGGGGCTCCCTGACCCAGCTACAGCTTGTTTGAGAGATTTTAGCCTGAGCAAGGACAGGCCATTCATATGCAAAAGCTGCTGCACACAGCTTGGGTGGGGTTATAAATTGGATGAGGTGGGGTCTTAAGGAATCAACAGGGCAGAGCAAACAGAAATGGCTGCCAGTCAGCCCTGTGACCCGGGAGGTCCCAGCATATGAACAATGATCCCTGCAGGCACCTCCGTCTGGAAGAAAGCCACCCCTGAGTTCCTGCCCTGATGCCAGACAGTCCAGTTCTTCCTTGTATGTGTCTGTGTCCCCCAGAGCCTCACCCTGGTGCTGGAGCTCAGAGGAAGCAGGACCTTGTAAGTTCAGTTTGTGGTGCTGGCCTTTTAAGAGGAACAGCTGGGTCTCCAGCAGCCTCTGCATCACTGAGCCCCAATCCACACTGGTTTTTACAGTCTGTAGTTCTTACTGCCCATAGGGATTTCTTTTCCCAGCTCTGGGACCCTGGGAAAAGGGTGTGGGGCTGGGACCCCTTGCTCATCCCAGTGGCCTCCGCAGAGATGATCTCCCTCCCGATTAAAAAAGTGGCACACGTGGGTGCTGGACCAGTCCATTCTGTGCCTCCATGCCTCCTATTAGTCTCAGTGTGCTTTCTTCTTTACTTCTCTAGTTGTAGGACTTCCAGTCAGCCAGCTTTTCAGCAGTTCTGGATGATGGTTGTACTGTATTTTAGTTGTAATTTTGATGTGGTTAGGGGAGGCAGTGAGTATAGTTGTTTACCTATGCCGCCATCTTCAAATCTCTCCTTTGTTGAATTTTTTAGTTGTATTTTGTTAGCTACATGAAAGGAATGAAGTAATAATGAGGTTTAAAATCCATTTACTGTTCACTGTGAGGAATGGCAGAGAATAAGGCTACACCTAGAATAGCATTGCCCAGAAGAACTCCGTGTTGAGATTCAGGCCTGATTTTCTAGTCTCAGCCCGAGAGTGTTGCCGGGCCTGCCCCTGGTCAATTTCCTGAGGCTGGGAGGCTGAGGAAGGGTGGTGGATGCTCTGATGGTGCAGTGCTAAAGCTTTGCTGCCCCTGCCAGATCCAGTGGGTCCTTAGCTTAGATGTGAAGCCAGGTCCCCTGGAGTTTTTGGTCTCTGGGGAAGCATTGGAGTTGCCAGGTGTTGGAATGGAACCAGACCACCCGGTATTTTAGTTTTCTGTCAAGTATGAAAGAAAGAAAAGAGCGAGATACAAAAGTCCATTAAAAAATCATTTAAGTGATTTTGGAAGATGGTGATGACAATAACATAGTTTTTAATTCTTTCGGAATCCCCACATAGCAAACTCGGAAACCCATTAACAATTTTTACAATAAATCTAGGTGACAAATTATCCCTATCAAACCCAAAACACAAGTGGCTGGGGATATACCATCACCAAGACCTGCAGAGTATCAACATCTGTGCAGGAGAAAGCAGAAGCAAGCACAGGGGCATTTGATAGGCTTGAGAAGAAGAGACCCCCAAATTTTTCAATAGGAGTCCACTGGAAAGTTTGGCAGGTTAATGTGAGGACAGCAACTGAAATTGAGAGCGATTTTGAGCACCAAAATAATGGATGGGTGGAAGAGATCTGTAGACTGGCCCCTATAATCTCTTGAAACCAACCCAGCAGGGCTCACTTCCAGGGCTCACTTCTCAGTGCCAAAGAGAAATTCAGTATGGGAGCAGAGTCAAAATAATCAGGATAGGGGAAGTTATGGTTAAGGGAAAAGAAATAAAATAAATAAATAAAGTTGTGTGTGTGTGTGTGTGTGTGTGTGTGTGTGTGAAATCGCAAAAAGCAACTACATTTGTTTGAACACTACATGAAAGCAACCAAAAGGAGAGCTATGTGAAATTAGAAGGCTACCCTGAACCATGTCTCCCTCTTAAAAGTTCAGGGAAACTAATTGTACATAAAAATAAGCAACAGGAGCCCTGACTGGTTTGGCTCAGTGGATAGAGCATCGGCCTGCGGACTTAAAGGTCCCAGGTTCGATTCCGGTCAAGGGCATGTACCTTGGTTGCGGGCACATCCCCAGTAGGGGGTGTGCAGGAGGCAGCTGATCGATGTTTCTCTCTCATCAATGTTTCTGACTATCTCTCTCCCTTCCTCTCTGTAAGAAATCAATAAAATATATTTAAAAAAAATAAGCAACAGGAAATGATTGCTGTCAAATCTTTCAATTATTATAAGAAAAAATCAGTAAGGACAGAGTTCTTATAGATAATGAAAGAATTCCAGAAAGACATGCCACAAAGCAAATGAAAACTGTAATTCTCTATTTTCAAAGGAGCTAAGCGACCTTAAGATCATGCGGT